AAACAATCACTGAGGTTTCGAATTCAATCAAGTTCTTTCTTCCAAACTTGTTTCCCTTTATGACTCATTGTTAGCTCAGCTCAAAAGAGCTATTATAAATGTTTGTATATGACAACAGGCAAAATTAATGTTGAAAAGAGTAAATGGGTAAGTAATACAGTCGATGCTTGCTGGTAAAAGTATCAATGACTTGAAGTTCTCTAAAAAGCTTCATTACAGGGAGAAGAACTTTCATTTATTTTTCTGTTCAAAGTCTAGATCTTCATTCCTTGATTCTTCTGCTTCATGCAATCCTGTCATAAATGGAAAACCTATAGTTAATAAGAAAACTCACATAGAGCTGAGCCAACTTGTGATTGTTTCTCAAAACTTCAACAGCTTTAAACTTTAAAAGTTTATTCATTCTAAGCTTAAAGGTGCAAATTGAATTTTAAACAAACTTAACTGAATAAATACTGATTCTACAGCTCGACCAGCGCCTCTAAGCCGGCTAGCGGTACGAAAAAGCTTCTTTCATCGCACTAAGATTTGTAACTAAGTTTATGACTTTCATGACTTCTTGTGTCTGATCAGGGTATCATCGCGCTCAAAGCCGGCTTTCTTGCCACCAAGAAATGGTCAACAACTGCTATCGCTCGGCCTACATTTCAAAGATTTGTTCCTCCTTAACCAGAATAAAGAAATGTTTAAGTAAATCGTGGACGTACCATCGAAGAAAAGCCGCCCAAACTCCAGCACATTGCTCTTTTTTAATTTCTCAGTCATCTTTCTGCAAACTTACTGACGATCTGCATCAAAACAATGAAAAACCTTCGCCGGGACAGTCAAAAACATTTTCCTTGATCCCTGGATTACGTAACATTTCTTTCAATGAGTTGCATTTCTAACGTATTCGTAGAATTTCTCCTTCGTTGGCATTCGCAAATATGAGTTTGGATGGTCGAAGATAAAATGGTCTTGCAAGAGAATTTCACTTTGCCCGAATGCTTCGCGCACGGGCTAGACAAGTAAACAAGTGATGTCACGGACATGCGTAGTACGTTATTCAGCCCTGTCATTTTATACCGTAAGCCGATCTTGCGAGCCCTCAGTCTCTTGGCTTGCGGTCTATAGAATGTGTAACGAAACCGTAACGCGATCAAAATAACCCGTTTTTTCAGAGGTTTTCGACGGGTTTTGGTGTTCTAACGACAAACACATCTCCTCTGGACCCTGTGCCGCTTTCCTTAATAATTAACTCAAATATCCCCCAAAAAGTGATCGCGAGCGACTGGAGACGAGGCAGAAATATTGGTGACAACTGGCGCTCATAATTCCTGGAAAGTTAATTACATATCCTATGAAGTTCTTTATTATATTACCAGAAAAAAATTAAAATATTCTGAATAGTTTCAGTTTAAGCTCTGCCTCTTTTGGAGATGCTCTGTAACTTTGCTTTCGAACTGAATAAATACTCTAAAAAATTTTAAGGTACGTAAGTAATGTTCCGACGTCGAAACTGTTCGGCTGAAAAATTATCAGGTTTGTCCGACAGTTTTGCCGCCCAAACATGTATTGTAGTTAAAGGTTTAAAAACTAAAGTTCATCGCAGGACCAAGTAGCCTAGTTTCTTGCGACAAGGCTGGTTATTATACAGTCAAATTTTAAAGTATAAGTTTCAGGATAAGGAGAATGAGAACGTGGTGAGGGCGCTTACGAATTCTTTAAAAGGAAGCATCTATCTGAGGGCAATGTGGAATGCTCCAAAGGAAATTAAGCTCCCTTTAGCTGTTTAGAGGATTTTTCCGCATGCAACTATAACGTACGGTGATTATCGTTCTCAGCGTCAAAACCGACATGTCTGTGATTTGTAATACCGTGTTAAACAATCACCGAAAAGATTACAAAGTCATCAAGCAATAAAGATTCAAACGCTGATGTACAGGAAACCGCACAAGGCGATACAGTTGTTTATTACAGATGGCCCGGCATCACAAGGGTACAATGTTTAGTAAGTCTGGCCAATGTCTTCGTGTACTGTCTTAAGTAAGTTACCATAAAATTCCGAAAATAAGCCCCATGGCTTACATTTTTCTAAGGCCCTTTGTGGCTGGCGACGAGCCAAGCAAAAAACGAGAAACGAAACTTTGAGGGGTGTGTCGCAGCAGGTTAGATTAGGGACTATTTTACGGGTCGACAAAACAAGAAAACCACGGAAAACCAAAGGTGACGGTTAAAGGTGATTTAATTCCAAATTCCAAAGACCAAAATCTATAGACCAAAAATTGACCGTAAACTGAAATAACAATACAAAAATCTCTATCAATTTGGCGAAAAGGCGACACTTGACAACGCGTAATCAACAAACTAAAGCTCGAAAACGGTAATAAAGCGATTCTATAACGATTAGGTCGATAACAAGACGGTAAAATCTACTTAAAGGCTACATAAACTAAAATTAGACAATAATTCCATAAATCTGATCTTAATCCTTGTACTATAAAGCAAAACTGTGGGCGTTGCTCTAACAGGCGTTCAAATCCGCTTTTCGCTCATGAAACAGTTATAAATCAGTTAAAGTTAAATCTGTATACTTGTACAGTAACATTCGTGTACTTTTGCCCACTGGCTTAAGAACGAAACTAAGCAAAAGAAATCACTTACATATCGGTCCTGCTTGTACCAAAGGTTAAGACAAAATCACAAAAATGATGTCACGACGCGAATCCTACTTGACTTTTTTCCTGACCAAAAGGAGGCTAACGCGCGCTTTTATACCCGCCTGGGGACGCCGAAATATAATCTCGTTATAAAACCAATAGAAAATCAGGTAAACATTGTAACTACGCTAGTAACTAGGATCAAAGCATGAAGATCACGAAATCAATGAAAAGGTATTGTTCTTATGTCTTGTCCTTTACACCCTTTTTGAGGGACTTATTTTTGTAGGTGCTAATATTCGTAGGGGCTTATATGCGGAGGCAAATTTGCGTTTCAACTAGGCTTATACTGCGAGGGAAATTTACGTCTCAAAATCGATTTGGCTAGCTTATAGTTGGAAGGAAATTCATGCCAGTAATTTGCAGAAACGTTTTACTGAAACTCGCCTTGAGGGCGTAAATTTTACTAATACTCAGCCACGCAAGTACTTTGTCTATATGGAATGAGGAAATCCAAGCCAAGAGCAATATACTGTGACACTCTTTGACTACAATCATTTGGCACACATAATAGTTCTTTGGGAAATGCGACAATTTATCTGTCACTGTACAGTTTTTGCTCTGTTTTATTTTGAATTTGAGGGCAATTTACGAGCTTAAGCCCCCGGAGGCTTATATTTGGAGATTTAACTGAGAGCTTTTTGTGTTACGAGTTTGGGGTCCTTATATTTGGAGGGGAATTTTACCGTATTGTACCGCCCTCTTTTTAATTATTATGATTGTTTTTTTCACTTACGAATTTGATTGGCCCCTTAAGAACGGTATTAGACATCTTTGAACTAAATAAATCCCATGACCATCGTGGTCAGATTATCTTCCCATGTCGATACCATACGTATCTGGAGCAGACGACGCAGTCAGCAAGCACGGATACCCGCAAAAGAACCCAGTTCTTTCAAATTTACTGAAAGAATTATTTTACGTTAATACTAGAACGCCACCAGCGGTTACCGAGAAACGGCCTGTCATTTCCTTAGTCACGTGATTTGGAGGAAGTTTAAGTTTCCAGCTGCGACCCTTAAAATCCAACCTTGGCAAAGCCAGAAAGGTTGCTGTAACATTGAGGCGAAAGGAAACATCACTCTCTTGGATCCCTTCTCAAATGATCATGATGCTTTGTGAATTTGCCTGGACTTTTTGTCTCCTTGTTTTCTCCATAACGGGCAGTACAGGTACAGACCTCTTTCTTTCCGTTTTGCTCTTTCTTTCGTTTTTTCTAATAGATTCTCTGTAGATTAAATTAACGACGAGCACATGAACTCAACGCGCTCTTATGATATCTTTCTACGGCTGAAATTCTTTTCAGTTTTTACTATCGTCCCGGAATGTTCCGTGTTCCGGGTTTTATCGCACGGAACATCCGAAATGTTCCGGAATGTTCCGTGTTCCTGGTTTTATCGACGCCCTTGTGTCGAAGGACTCTGCGTTTTCATTCCCAGTTGCCGCCAAAACACTGAACCCAAAACGCATGACAGCAAAAAAAATAAGAGTCAATCTTGAGAGAGCACCACACTAAAAACACTTAAATGTGTCTCTTGAAGTAAAATGGATCGAAACTGCTGTACGAAAAGCAATTTCTGCATTAAAAACAAGAAAACCAACTCACCGTTTAATATTTAACGACGTGGCCAAACTTTTAGTGGGTCGACGCTGTGTTATTATGCTAATTAGTTCCAAGAATTGAACATTTCACTTCCGGTGGCTGTCCTTTTATAAAAAGCGAAAGGAAAACTGCATTCTCTTGAATCTTTGCCCAAATGATCATGATGCTTTGTAAATTTGCCTGGACTTTTTGTCTCCTTGTTTTCTCCATAAGCGGCAGTACAGGTAAAAGCCTCTTTCTTTCCGTTTTGCTATTGTTTTCATAGATTCTCTGTAGATTAAATTAGCGACGAGCACATGAACTCAAGGCGCTCTTAACATCTTTCTACGACATTCTTTTTAGTTTTTACTATTATTACTTTTAAAAACGCGTTTTTCCTTGATATTAGGGAACTTAAGCACCAGACGTTTTCTACGGGGCGACGGCAACCGGAAGTCAAATTTACTTCCGATCCACGTTTCCCGCCGACAGAGTCGGCCGTCGCGACTCTGCGCCGACTTTGTTTTGCTTATTTTGACGTCGCCTGTAAAACGTGAGTTTTGCTTTTATGATTTTCGTGCTTTTATATCATTTTGCCTGCGATGTTTTGCACTTAGTGATACGTAAAATTTTATTCTGTCGTTTTGGCGATTGTAGGAGCGATTGTCGTGTATTACAGGTCTGTTTTTTTTTAACTTTTTAGGCTCTATAGCGTGAAG